GATGAGAAATGCTAGAGCACATTTGTATAAGTAATAAGAAGGAGAACCAACGACACAGCAGAAAGGAGTCTCAGGATGCGAGGAGACGGATCCGAAGCACAGCAGGCGCCGCTGTCCACGGCATCGGTGAGCGTGGAGACGCTCCTTCTCGCTGGCGGAGGAGGGAGGACGCAGGGCTCTGCCCGGTGTGATCAAGGTCACGGGCACAGGCTCCGGGGTGGCCGTGAACCCCAGGACCTGCCTCCCCTGGAGCAGAGGCCAGGAGTAACCCCAGATCCTGGGGCGGCAGAGGGGAGGCGGGACCCAGACCCCCGCCACGTGCCAGGGCTGGATCCACGTGTGCCCAACGGGGCAGAAACTCCGAGGGGGATTAACGTCAAAGTGGACCCGCTGAGACGTGGAGACATTTGCAAAACTTCTTATCACGAAAGTCTCACGCGGGGTCCACACTCCCGTGAGATCGACCCCCGCTGAGGACAAGCCCACAAGTGACAAAAAGAAGGTGTCGAGCAGAAGGCAAAGGCAGACACATCTGAAACAGCAACACACATAACAATTTTTTTCTATGAGTGAAAAATACAGAAACCAGCAAAAAAGTATCCAGCATTTGATGTTACAGGTCAGACGCAGGGACAGATGGGACCTGGGGGACAATTTGCGGAAACCACCCACAGGGCAGCCCTGAGGCGTGAAGGGGCAAAGCTAGGAAGGGCCGTGCGGAGACCCAGGGGGAGCGAGGCCCGGCACCCGTGACGAGACCCCCGCGAGGACAAGAAGGAAATCCAGGGAGTGGACGTTTACGAGAGCTCACAACGTCCAGCTTCTTACCTGTTACCCAGGGACCCTCACACACACACAGTGGGCACTGGGGTTGCTCCCTTCTGACAACAGGGAAACTGAGTCATGGGTGAGAGCAGGGCCTGGGAGAGGCGATGGTGCACGCGGTAAGGGACGAGAGTCTTGCGGAACTAGGGAAGGGCACCGGCTGCAGGGCCCATTGGGGGCTGAATGGACAACAGCCAGACCCCTTGACCGTGGGGACGGTGTCTGGGAGCACGGGTGCCAGGGGCTGAGGGCAGAGCTTGCCTCTGGGGGGGTCAGGGCCATGGGCAGGGCTGGGAGAAGGAAGACACGACTTCCTGACCCCGGGCTGCTCCATGGGGCACAGGCACGGCTCCATCCCAAGTGGGGTTAGGGTTAGGGTTTGTCTATGACAGCATCTGACCTTCTGGAGACTGAGCAGCAAAGCCCGGTGGGGCCGTGGGAAGCCAAGCCAGGCTGAGATGCCCGGTCAGCCAGCCCAGCCCCCTCTGTGCTCCACCTCTTTCCCGGAATGGCTGCGTCCAGGCTTCAGCGAGGAAGGCTGTCTCGGGTGCCAGGCCCCACACTCACCACGCCCAAAGCAACCCCCACTGCGCCAGCCTCACCCCTCAGGGCAGAGCCGACTTCAGGTCACAGGACGCACCACAGCCACCACAGCTGCTTCTGACACAGCCCAGCTGTGCTGCAGTAAGGGAAGGCTCGCGCATCAGAGCCCCTCTGACTGGGCCACACGGCGGCTACGACCAGCCTGGACCCGCCCCAGTCCCCGGACACCACATCCGTCCTGCGGGGACGACTCAGAAGCAGATGTCCTCCCACCCAACCAGCGCGGAAGGGGCAGGGCAGGCGGTGCACGTCACCCCCACCACACCCAGGACACGGGCGGCTGGTCACAGCCACCCGCCACCGACGTCAACCCTCCCTCCACTGCGGCCTTTCTGCCGCTGGTCTCTGCACCTTCCACAGGCCGCGGACCATGCCCGGGAGCCCCACAGACTCGTGGCTTCTCTCTCACCCTCCCCTGAAGGGCCACTAAAGACACAGCGAGCTACAGGGGAGACCGGGGCACGGCCAGCTGTCAAGTGCTCCCCGAATCTAGCCGAGCCCGAAAGGCACGAGGAACCCCCAGAATAGGAGTCTCTGTCAGTGCGTCACTCGTTTCCTGAAGTTTCCGTCAGTAATGGGGTGTTCTCTCCCTCGCACTCTGCCCACCACTGAACGGAAACTGAACGTTTTCAAGGCACGGCACGCTCAAGGCTGCCCAGGCGTCAACCACCCAGGCAGCACCGGAGCCCCTGTTTGGGAAGCGCCACCAATTAAACAGGTTCTCATTTCAAGAGCCCGGGACGCAGGGCTGGCGAGTAGATTTCCCCAAAGCAGCAGCTCATCTTTAAGTGGCTCCGCGAGGACGTCTCTGCTGTGCAGCAAGGACACTCGTAAATAACACTCCTCAACAGTTAATTATCTGAACAGCGAGTGCTGTGAAATCTGAAGTTTCCAACGTGAGAGCGCAGGTTGGTTTCCGTCCACGCTGACTTACGAGTGGCAACATGCCACTCCGGGGAGGACGCGCGCCCGTCATTCTGTGTATAGTTCATTAAACCATCACGCGACGGGGAGCACGGCCGTCGCAGGGTTTGGAGGTGAGTACCCCAGGCTGTGACTGCTGGCGGGGTGTTCGGTCGAGCAGCTTTTTGATATCAGCGTAGCAATGTTTGCACACGGCGGGGGTTTCATAGGTTTTAAATTATGGAAGCATTCGTCCTTTTGTATCGCCTTTCCCCAAATATATGTCTTTAAATAGTGAAGATAAAAAAGTATGCCCCACTGAATCCCAGAAGGAGAAAATAATTTCTCATTTCACAAATAATTACTCATTTTCACAAATTTAGCAATTATGAAACACGAGGAAACTATGATTCCTGAAGGCCTCTCTGGTTTTCAGATCCACACCTGCTTTTTCCTGGACAGTCAGCAAACCCTGACTTCAAAGGCAACCTAAACATCGCCAGTTTGCCAGGCACCACAACCGAGCATTCCAGCCAATGGGAGGACTGACCTGCTCCAGCCCCCTGGTCTCCCCAGACGTCAACGCGAGGCATTTCATAGCTGAACCGACCCACGGCCTCACCAGAAACGAGACCGACGCCGCCGATCGCAGGCCAGAGGGCACCCCTCGTGGTACTCACCGACCCAACTCCGGATTGAAGAATTTTCAGGCCCGAGGCTTCCTCCAGTTTGTCTTTGTTGTCAACTGTTAGGAAAAATCAAGAAGAACAGGGTCAGCTTGGAGAGCTCGGCCATCTCGAGACACATCAAACACCCGCCTCCTGACAACTTCAGGCGCAACACCGCCCGGACCACCTAACGCGCAGCAGTGCTGGGAGTGAGCCCTGCGCGTGGCCCCGCTACCCCGCCAGCCCCTGGGCGGGCACGGCTGTGCCTTCGGTTTCGGCCGTGGGGTGACGTCACGGCAGGGAATCCACGGAATCGCCGCGAAGACTCGAAGGGAGACTGCACGGAGACATGATCTGCAAACTGTGAAGCCTCGTTTTAAATTATGTCACAGTTATTAACTATGTAACTATTGGGAAACAAGTTCCGCTAGCATCAGGGACACTGAGCGCGTGTTCCCGCCGCCAGTGCCGGGGCCCCTTCATTCCCTCTTGGTCACACCCGGCAGGAAGCAGGCCGCGACAGTTCAGCTCCCATCAAAGCCTCCTGCTAGCCCGCTCCTGACTCAGGGTGAGGAGGGCTCTCGGAGAACGAGTGCCGCCGCCGTCACGCTGAGAGCGAGGGGCTCCGGGACAGGTGGCGGACGTAGACGGGACTCGGTAATCTCAGTGCTCGCGGGTGAGCCCCCGAGCAGAGAGGAGGAAGGTGCCAGAAGGCACGGATCCTGGCTTACAGTTCTGTAGGGATATTTTCCTGGACAAAGTCCCGTCAAATGGAAATGAAAACCAGAAAAAATACAATTTTATTGCAAATCCCAGGAATGAAGAGTGCGTTGCAATTGTGATTAATTCCGAATGAGACGGCAAGAGAGCACGATCGCTTTCCCCTCTCGTTGTGACGCACCTTCACAGTCTCAGGAACCCAGTGACGTCTTCCGTCTTCCGGAGGCAGACAGACGAGCCCCTGCTGAGCCTGCGGCCCCTGCTGGGGCCTCTCACTGTCTGGGGGAAGTTCCTCCCTCTGAAGGAAGACCATCTCTCACACGCGTGATCGCCGTGCACTGAAGGGCCGAGCCAGGCACACGGCAACGTGGGTGAGAGCAAAGCACTCCCGCGTGAGGGTGGCTGGCCCGGGAGGGCAGGGCGGGCGCGGAGGTGAACCTCGGCGGGCAGGAGCGTGCTCTTCAAAGAGACGGAGCACAAAGGACCGACGTTAACGTTCTGTGAACGCAGGGAGCATGGTTCCGAGGGCAGGATTTCTGGGGTGGGACGAGAGGACTCTTGCAAACAGGCTGAGGGACAGAGCACACAATGTCACTTTAAAATACTCCAGGTATTGCTACCGAGCGGTGACAGATCTCGGGGTCAGGGATGAGAGGCAGCCCGACCATTAATCGGGTGAAATAACCCATCCAGACTCAGCAACTTCCACGAAGGCCCGGCAGGGAAGCTCTCGGATCTGCGGGCCCAGGGCCTCCGCCTGGCCCTGCCCTGGGGCGTGAAGGCAGCGCAGACAGGCCTACGGATGGTCCTGCTTGCTCCCAATAACACTTTCATGACAACAGCAGAGGGTGGGCCTGCCGTGACCACGGGCCGTGTCAACGCTGTCCCAGCCCTGCCTGCGTAGCGCTTGCTGTATACCCAACGCTGAGGTCTCAGTGTAAGGCTGGTGGCAGGCACCCCTCCCCACTCCCTAAAGCTGTGAAAGCAGCAGCAGCTGACTGCGCCCGCCGAAAATAACTGGACGCAGACAATAAGCCAGACGCAGGCAGTTTCGGTTCCCGGGACTGAGCAACAGACTCCGTTTCTTAGAACCCGCCAAAACCCTCAGTGCCGCTTCAGGCAGCACAAAAAGCCCTCGCCCCCTCCGAACAGGCGCGACTTCACTGGCCCCCTCTCTCGGGACCAGTGAACCTCGTCCGGGAGTGCTCTCTTTCCCCTTCCCCCAATAAAGCCTCGTTGCTCGCCCCTTTTCACTCTGCTCGTCTTTCTCTGCCGCCGCCCATCCAAAAACCTTACACTCAGTATATCGTGTTTCCTGGATTCAGAAATGCCCCCCCCCCAACATTCTCCCACGACCGGAGTCAGGCGTGTCTTGGTGTGTTGTGCGCAAATGCGGCGGCGATTCCCGGGAGTTCCCACCCCGCGGGCCAGGCAAGGCACCGTCCAAGGCCACCTGAGGCAGAAGGAGTCCTTGTCTCCCCCGGCGACTTCCCACAGGCCAGGCAGGTGCCCAGCGTGGCTGGGATGTGGCCCCGCAAGCCCCATGTCGACGGTGACCCAGTGGTGCAGGTGGGACCTTGCGCACGATGGCTGGGTGCCCTCCCGACGGTGACGATGACGAGTGGGCGCTCACGGTACTAGTTCACATGACGGCTGCTGGTCAGAGCAGCCTGGCCACCCCATGTGACGCGCCTGCGCCCCCTTTACCTCCCGCCGTGATGGGAAGCCCCGAGGCCTGCGCCAGAAGCAGATGCCGGCACCAAGCTCCAAGCTTCGCTACAGACTGCAGAACCCCGAGCCAAGCGCGCCTGTCCTCATAACCACCCAGCCCCGGCGTTATGGCAGCACAGCATGCGGGGAGGGCCCCACAGCAGAACAGGTCGGGCACCGCCACTCGGCGGATGGTGATGGGGAGGGTGACCTTGCAGCGCTCTGTGCGACCTCTGCAGCACCAGCCCGCTGTGGCCTGGTGGACGCTGTCCTCCTGGGGGGCCCCGGAGCAGGGCCTCCCACTGTGAAAGGCTTAAACCCTTCGAGCGCTACGTCTCCTTTGCTGTGTGCGCAGGAGCGGTTTGGGGTGAGTGTGTCTGAGTTCATGCCGTAAATACAAGGTCGTCCTAAGCCGTCACGAAGCACCTGCTACGGTTTGACGGCGCCATCTCCGCTCGCTCCGCGGCCCACACCAAGACCCAGCGGGATGGGGCCCGGCGTCTGTGAGCTCCTGGCGGACACGCCCCCCAAGCTGGGACCTCGGGGACAGTCGGGCCATTTGTTTTGTCTCTCGGGGTCTAAACTGCACCTGCTGCTTAGATGTTCGTGTTCCTAGCGCCTCTGCGCTCTCTGCGGGGGCCCCTGAAACCCAACCTGACTTTTCCCAACTTCAGTCTGGTCAGCTCAAAACCACCAGCAAGTGAGGCAAACAACCTGATCTCGTGTTGTTTCTGAAGAACTAACAGGTTTTTAAAAGAGTACAGGGGACTGATCATTCTCGAGCTTACCTAAGACCAAAGGGTAAGTCAAAATCTAAATATTAACATAAATATTTTTAAAAATGAAGCTGGAAGCTATTAAATACTTGCTACACGCCAAGTGCTGAGGCCAGCACTGCTCTACATGACCTTATCTAAGCCTCAAAGCCACACGGAATGTAGGCTCAGAAATTGGGAAACTGAGGAAACGCAGTGAGCGGCAGTGCTGAGTCAGAGGTGGGTCCGTCTCTGCCCAAGCTCCGCCTTTTCTGCCCAGACACCAATTTCCCGACAGGTGCGCCCACTCAGGGAACCGGGGATTTGAGACTGACCCTGCTGGGCGGGGGCTGGGAGAGAACCATCCCAGTCCTCCCTCGGCTGGTCCTGCGTCCTGGTGCAGCAGGCCGGGGAGTCCCGTGTCCAGGGCCCAAACGGAGGGAGCAGCATTCTCAAGCCGCCGTCCCAAGAGGAATCCCTGGACCGACTGCGGAGCTGTGTGGAGGGGGAGGGGCCGCCACGAGGAGGGGAGGGGCTGCAAGGTGAGGTGAGGGGCTGCCAGGTAGGGGGGAGACGGCCTGCCAGGTGAGAGAGGAGGGCCACCAGGTGAGGGGCGGGGCCACCAGGAAGATGGGGAGGGGTCACCAGGTGAGGGGGCGAGGCCAGGGGAGCCCCAAGGCAGGACCTCAAGGGAGCCCCTCATCCACCCAACAGAAGTGGTTTCCTCCAGAGTCCCTCTCGGGACAGCTGAGAAGGCGGCTCTGGGTCCGTTTTCTGCTTGTGTGGACTGGACTCTGCTCTCCACAGCCGCACACACTCTGCTGCCCCTGCAGGCCCCGCCCACCCGGCGAGAAGCCCCGGGGGCCGCGTGACACACTGTCCCCATGCCCTTCTCTGCACTCCTGTCCCCACACTCCTGTCCCCGCTCTCCTGTCCAGCACTCCTATGTCCCCTGCACATCTACCCTGTACCCCCATCTCTGCAAGGAGCCACCTGTGTCCCAGGCTGTCCCTACCACATTATTTCACTAATGTGGTCACATTAGTGACCACATTATTTGTTTTGTTGATTAACCTTTTGTTTCACCCTCAGAAGGACACAACATCATCTAGAGCTGCTGTTTCCGAAGTTTTGCACAGACAGGAAATCCAACCTCCGCTTTTGCAACATGCATCCGCGTAAACCCACGGTCCCAAGACAGTCATGCGCCTGCTTACAGTCCAGATTCCAGTCTGTGGTCTGGAGCATGATGCCTCAGTTTCCCCTTATGGAAACTGTCGCTCCCAGTGCTGATGTTGGAGTAGCTGGGGAGACTACGCAGGAGCCCTCGTGGGCCGTGCCCAGCCCAGGCTTCGGCACACAGCTGGCGGTTACGCCGCGTGCCCTCGGACGGGCATCTTCCAGGTCTGGTGGCGGCCAGGCCTGGCCTCATAACAAGAAGGTGCCGTGTCCTCTCGCTCACGGCCTGCCTCCAACCCGCCACCATACACGTCAAGGCTGCCGTCCACTTCCCAGAGACCAGACGCCGGCTGAGCCTCCCTGGCGATGCTGTTCCAGACAGCTCCGTCATCGGGGCCTCCTCCCCTGACAGAACCGCTGTGGCCTCAGGGCAGAGGGCCTGGGCTCTTCCCGGTCCACACCGTGAAAGTGGCTGGATGTCCCTCCTTTGTCCCTTCCACGGGTCCCGTACAGGGCGTTTGGGTCCCTCAACGGCAGGGCCTGTGTGGAAACCCTGACGTTGTTCCTGCCCCTCCCAGACTTACGAATAAAAACCCTTGGGTGGCCCCTCCGGCCCTTCCTCTGGCTCCTCCGTGCTGCACCTGCTCGCTCGGGCGCTGCCCACGAGTGAGGACGCAGGGTCTCTGCCCTGCTGAGGCTGAGGGCACGAGCAA